ACTGAAGATAATAATGATGACACTGAATAATTCTAACAACTTCATCAGTCTGAAACTGATCCAACACATAATCAATATGTAGTGATATTTTCTGGTGATTGAAATGTTAAAGTTGGAACAAAGAGGAATGATCAGTAGTTGGAAAATATGGCCTTAGTGACAGAAATGGTGTTGGAGATATTGACAGAATTTTGCAAGGCCAATGACTTATTTATTGTAAATACCTATATTTAAATAACATAAAAGGTCATGTTATTTAAATGGACCTTACCAAATGGAATACACAGGAATCAAAAGGACTGCTTATGTGGGAAGAGATGGTGGAAAAAACATTATTAGCTGAAGAAAATTAAAACAAGTCTACAAGAGACAAAATATGAGTTTGAACATATCCCACCTGAATAGATTTGATTCATTACACACCAATGACTTAAGTAAGAGCAGAAGAGTTGTGGGATGACATCAAGAACAACATACAGGAAGAAAACAAAAAGGTCATTAAAAAGAGGAAAAAAGAAAAGATCAAAATGGGTGTCAGGAAAGACTCTGAAACTCTTTTGAGCATTGCAAATGGAAAATATGAGGAAGTAAAAGAATTGAACAAGATATTTCAAAGGGCAGCTCAAGAAACAAAGTCAAGATTATTATGAAACGTGCAAAAGACTTGTAGTTAGAAAACTAAAAGGGAAGAACACTCTCAGCATTTCTCAAGCTGAAACAACTGAAGAAAATTCAAACCTCAACTTGTAATATTGAAGGATTCTATGGACAAAATATTGAATGATGGAGAAAGCATCAAAACAAGATGGAAGGAATACACAGAACCACTGTCTAAAAAGAAATGGTTGATGGTCAACCATTTCAAAAATGAGCATATCATTAAGAACTGATGATACTGAAGGTAGAAGTCCAAGCTGCACTGAAGTCACTGGTGAAAAACTAGGCTCTATGAATCAATGGAATATAAACTGAAATCTTTAAATAAACAGATGAACCAGTAGAGGTACTCAATCATCTACACCAAGGAATTTGCAAGACAGTTACCTGGTCAAATGACTGGAAAAGATTCCTATTTGTGTCTACTCCAAGAAAGGTGACCCAACAGAACGAAGAAATCATTGAACAATATTATTAAGATCACATGCAAGTAAAATTTTGCTGAAGATAATTTATAAACTCCAGCAACAGTATATCAATAGGGAACAGCCAGAAATTCAAGCCAGATTCAGAAGAGATCACAAAACTAGGGATATCATTGCTGACATCGGGTGGAACTTGGCTGAAAGCAGAGAATACCAGAAAGATATTTACTTGTGCTTTACTGACTAAGCAAAATCTCTTGATTGTGTGGATCATGACAAACTATGGATAATACTGTGAGAAAATGGGAAATCCAGAATACTTAGTTGTGCTTATGTTGTTATGTGCCATGGAGTTGGTTCCGACTCATAGTGACCCTGTACAGGGTTGCTGAGGTTGTAAATCTTCACGGGAGCAGAAAGCCTCACCTTTCTCCTGCGGAGCAGCTAGGAGTTTCGAACTGCTGACCCTGAGGTTAGTAGCCCAATTTGTAGCCACTACGCTGCCAGAGCTCCTTTGCTACCTGTGCTCATGAGGAACCTATATATAGACCAAGAGGCAGTCGTTCCAACAGAACAAGGGGATACTGAATGGTTTAGAATCACGAAAGATGAGCACCAGGGTTGTATCCTTTTACCATACTTACTCAATTTGTATGTTGAGCAAATCCAAGAAATTGGATTATATGAAGAACCTAGCATCAGAATTGGAGGAAGACTCATTAACAGCCTGCAATATGCAGATGGTTTTGTTGTTGTTGTTAAGTGCTGTCAGGTCAATTCTGTCTAATAGTAACCTTATAGGGTTTCTGAGGAGCATCTGGTGAGTTTGAATTGCCAACCTTGAGGTTTAAGCCAACCTTGTGGTCGAGTGCTTATCCTATAGTGCCACACCAGGATTCCATGCAGATGATTTCAGCCTTGTTTTTTGGAAGTGAAGAGGACTTAAAATATTTCCTGATGAACGTAAAAAAATCATAGCCTTCAGTATGAATTACACCTCAATATAAAGAAAATCAAAATCTTTACACCTGGACCAATAAATAAAAAAGATTGAAGTGTCAAAGACTTCATTTTGCTTGGATCCACAATCAACATTCATAGAAGCAGTAGTCAGGAAATCAAATGATGTATTGCATTAGGTAAATTTACTGTAAAAGACATTTTTAAAGTGTTCAAGAGCAAGAAACCAGTTTGAGGACTAAGCACACGACCCAAGCCAAGGTTATTTTCAATCACCTCATATGCATGTGGAAGTTAGACAATGAATAAGGAAGACCCTAGAAGAATTGATACATTTGAGTTATGGTATTGGAGAAAAATACTGAACATACCATGGACTACAAGAAGAACAAACAAATCTCTTTTGGAAGAAGTACAGCCATAATTCTTAGAAGTCAAGATGGCAAGACTTTGTTTCTCAGACTTCAGACATGCTATCAGAAGAAACTAGTCTCTTGGGAAGAACATCATGCTTGGTAAAATGGAGGGTCAGGAAAAAAGAAGACCCCCAATGAGATGGATTGGCATAGTGGCAACAACAATGAGCTCAAGCATACCAACAATTATGAGGATGGTCCAGGACCAGGCAGTGTTTTAGTCTGTTGTTCACAAGGTAACTATGAGTCAGAGCTGATTCAACAGCACCTGACAACAACAACAACAATAGCTAGTGGTTATGAGAATTTCTTCATGTTTGTTGACCACTTGAATGTCTTCTTTGGTGAAGTGTCTGTTCATGTCCTCTGCACATTAAAAAAATTGGATTATTTATCTTCTTCTTATTTAGGTGTTAACGTGTTTTATAAATCTTAGACGATAGTCCCTTGTCTGATATGTCATTGCCAAAAATATTTTCTCAGTCTGTGGGTTCTCGTGTTACTCTTTTGGTGAAATCTTTTGGTGCATACAACTGTCTAATTTTTAGGAGGTCCCAATCATCTATTCCACCTTCAGCTATTATGTCTGATAGTGCATTTGTGCCATGAATCAGAGCACATCAGTTTGTCTCTATTTTTTTCATTGACGATTTTTACATTTTTAGGTTTTGCAGCTAGGTCTTTCTTTAATCCACGTTTTTGTGTGTTGTGTGAGATATGGTCTTGTTTAGTTATTCTGCCAATAAATTTCCAGTTTTGCCAGCACTATTTGCTGAAGAGACTGCTTTTCCCCATTTAATGTGTTTTGGTCTGTTGTCAAAGAGCAATTGAGCATAGGCAGATGGATTAACTTCTAGATTCTCAATTCGGTCCCATTGATTTATGTGTCTTTCATTGAATCAGTACCAGGCTGTTTGATTACTGTGACTGTAAAGGAGATTTCAAGATCAGGAAGTGAGAGATCTCTTTTTTTTTTTTTTTTTTTGGTAATGTTTTGCTTATCTGGGGTCTCTTTCCTTTTCATATAAAGTTAGTGATTATTTTTTCCATCTTTTTAATAATTACTAACTTTTTTTCTTTTCTATTTTTAAACTGCCTTCCCTGTCACCCAAGTTAACATGTGCCTACCCTCTGTTGTTGTTGTTAAGTGCCATCAAGTCAGTTCTGACCCATAGTGGCCTTGTATGGGTTTCTGAGGAGCAGTAGTGAATTTGAACCGCTGACCTTGTGGTTTAACCAGACTTGGCAATCCAGCTCATTAACCTGTAGCACCATATGAGGACTTCATGTTTACCCTCTAGCAAGTGAATAATTCCCTTCCACCCCTGGTAACCATCAGAGCATGTTTCCTTTAGCATGAAAACCTTTTATTGGCTTTTAACAACAGTGGTCTCATACAATATTTGTTGTTTTGTGACTGACTAATTTCACTCAGCATAATCCTCCAAATTAATTTATGTTATGAAGTATTTCACAGATTTATTGTTTGTACATCTTCTTTAAATTATACTGTAAGAGGTAGTATTTTGATGTGGATGAAGAGTGTTTATTTCAGAGAGAATATTTATAGTCATAAACCATGTCCAGTTGAAATTTAGAGGGAATCAAGATAGGAAACTAATACTTCACTCACATATCACTACATAAATGCCATCCATCCACTCATGTCATCAAGTTGATTTACTTGATTTACATCAAGTTGATCGCAACCCTATATAGAATTTCCAAGACTGGAGATCTTTACAGGAGCGGACAGTCTTATCTTTCCCTGTGTAACAACTCCTTTGACCTTGTTGCTGGTGGGTTTGAACAGCACTGCCACAGCTCCTTATATAAATGCCAAGCAGGCATTAATAATACAGTGGATTTGATTGAGCAGTCCTTTTACCATGAAGCATTTAGAGACTATATATGTAATGAAAAATAAATGTCCTTGAGGATGATAACAGTATTATCTCAGAATTTGTCAATGAAGTCATCATTCAACCTGACAACTTACTAAGGAATTATTCCAAATGGAAAAATAGAATCAGTTTTTTAACATAGCTTAATTTTAATTATTTCCCCTTAGACATCATGAATTCACTTTAGGCAAACATATAATGCTATCAGTTTTTTCTATTTGTGGCCAATATAAGTATGCACAACTTTTAAATAATAATGACAAATACAAATACAGAAAATGAATGAAATGTACTACTCTTATTTGTGTCTCATACCCCTAAAAAATATATCACTATATCTCAAAATACATTGATGGTTTGAAATTCAATCTACTGTTTTTTTAATGTAGAATTTGAAATTATCTTTTTTTTTTTTTTTAAAGTAAACCTATTTGAACTAACCATTTAAAAGATAATGATTTTTTTCTCAAATGTTAGAACAAGAAAAGATTGTAAAATAAGCAAATGGAAAAAGGAGCACACAACTGGATTAAGTACATAGAAAGTAAAACCAACATATAAACAAAAGATTATTTCAGCTAGAGTTTACTTCTTAAAAACTCAAAGCATCACCAAACAACTACTGTTTGATTCTTCTGCTAATGAAAACCTAAGCTATTTCTGTAGTTGGAATTTTCTTCTTGCTTGTAGTCTTGCTCAGTGTCTTGAAATAGACCACTGGGAATATTTGGCTTCAGGAACTTGAACTCATTTATTCCTGAGTCTCCCATCAAACACACCTCATACTGGTAGCTCTGGGGCAGGGTCCTGGTACCGCTCACATCCATCAAGTGGCCAGGAAAGTGGCCCTCAAGCATTGGGGTGGCCCTGTTCCTCCTGCACAGCTGCACTGCCACAAATACCAGTACAGAGAACAGGAAGAGTGACGAGACTGACGCCAACGCAACGATCAAGTAGACGGTGATTGAGTCGGTCTGGGTCTTGTCCCGGGTCACCTCCGGGAGCAGCAGGTAGGGCTGTTGGAAACTATCCACCAGGAGTATGTGCAGTGTGACGGTGGTTGACATTGGAGGCTCGCCATTGTCTTTGACCAGCACCACTAATCTGTGCTTGGCCGGGTCGCGCTCGCTCAGCAGCCTGGCAGTGCGCACCTCGCCGTTGTGAGCCCACACGCTGAACAGCCCAGGCTCGGTGGCCTTGAGCAGCTGATAGGACAGCCAGGCATTCTGACCTGAGTCACTGTCCACCGCCACCACCTTGGTCACCAGGTAGCCCACCTCGGCAGCCCTGGGCACCAGGTCAGTGCAAAGAGCAGAGCTGTTCTGCAGTGGATACAGCACGAAGGGTGAGTTGTCGTTGTCGTCCACAACCACCATGCGCACCAGTGCCTCGCTGCTCAGCGCTGGGGAGCCCGCGTCTGCTGCGACCACGCGGAACTCGAACGCTTGCAAGGCCTCGTAATCCAGGGACCTCAGAGCGAACAGGTGCCCATTGTCCGCGTTGATGGAGACCAAAGAGGCGAAGGGGAGGTGCGGGTCCTGTGGTGGCAGCAGAGAGTAGGTGATTTGTGCGTTGGTGCCTGAGTCTCTGTCTGTGGCGCTGACACTGCCGATGTGCAAGGCGGGACTATTGTTTTCCCTGATGTACAGGGTGTAGGAGGTTGTATTGAAAGTTGGAGCGTTGTCATTGACATCTGAAATCCACACCGTGATGGTGTGTTGGGTTTTCAGCCTGGGAGTACCCAAGTCAGTGACAGTGATAGTAACATTGTACTGGTCTCTCTTCTCTCTGTCCAGCGCTTCCTTTGACACCAGAGTATAAAAATTATCTGTGGGTGGATTGAGGAAGAAAGGAAGATCGTCCTCTATGGAACACATCATCTTTCCATTGTCTCCAGAGTCTGGATCGGAAATGCTGAAAATTGCAACCAAAGTCTCAAGCGAGTTTTCTGGGATGGGGCTGTTAACTGAGGATAAGGTCAGTTCTGGTGGGTTGTCATTCACATCTCCCACTTGAATTATGACTGTTGATTTTCCTGAAAGTCCCCCGCCATCCTTGGCCTCGATATCAACTTCATAGGTGTTAATCACCTCAAAATCCAGATATTTGACTAGCTGTATATCACCAGTAACTGGATTTAATTGGAAAGTGTTGCGAGTTTCTTCAGAAGCGTGGGAAAATGCATATGCTATTGTCCCATAAGATTCTGTATCTAAATCATTAGCTGAGACAGTGACAATGACAGAGTTAAGAGGACTGTTCTCTAGAACTTGAACTTCATAAAGGGACTGTGAAAATACGGGGGCGTGGTCATTTATGTCTAAGACCAGGATGTGAATCTGGGCTGTCCCAGACCGGGGTGGAGAACCACCATCTAGCGCTATGAGCGTTAATCTGAGCTCCGACTGCTCCTCGCGATCGAGCGCTTTGTCCAGCACTAGTTCTGGGTATTTCCTTCCATCCCTACGACTACGCGTGAGAACATGGAAATGGGAGTTGGGAATGATCTTGTAGTTTTGGAGACTGTTTCTTCCCACATCCAAGTCCTCAGCATTTCCCAAAGGAAATGTTGTTCCTGGTAGGCTGCTTTCTAGGATTTTCAGCTGCATTTCGTTTTCAAGGAATACAGGGGAATGGTCATTTACATCTATGACCTGGAGCTCATTTGTAAACAGCTGCATAGGGTTTTGTAGCAATACCTGAAAATCTAGTAGACATGGCTCTGTAAGACCGCACAGCTCCTCCCGGTCCAATTTTTCTTTCAGGAGCAAATCACCGGTTTGATGGTTGAGCTGCAAATGCTGTTTACGCCCTTTGGACACAATATGGGCCCTCCTCTCAGCCAGTTCTCCTACCCTCAGCCCCAGATCCTTTGCTAGGTTGGCTATTAAAAAGCCCCCCTCTTTTTCCTCAGTCACAGAATAGCGACCGGACTCTGACACAGTTAGAGACCCACTCAGAAAAACAAAGAGAAGTAAGACTTGCCTTTGTCTAAGAAAGCGCTCGCCTCTGGCCTTCATTGCACTTTCCGCCAAAGACTTCTTCCAGGAAATGTCGCCAAGCTGGGATACAGACAACGTTGGGAAAGAGTCTTTTGCCCCCAACCTTTGGAGACAGCTTAGTGAATAAACCTTTCGAGAGGCTCTGATTTGCTTGTTTACAAATCTGCCTAGTCTCACAAACCCCTTCTTAACTGTGCCGGATTCCGACGTTCGGGAGTACGTAAGCATAAACTCGGTATTTTAATGCTCCTTCTTAGTCAACAGCGCCACCATGCGTTCACTCGCAGTTACAATAAAATTGTCTTTTATTGTAATGAAATATGACTACATCACTAGTAAAATTGGTTTTGCTCTAAATTGCTTTTTCCTTTTATTCGAGCCCTGGAATGGCGCTTTAGAATAAGCACTGGGCTGCTAACCATAAGGTGGCAGTTCAAATCCACTAGCCGCTCCTTGGAACCCTGTTCGCAGCCGCTATGAGTCAGAAATGACTCGAAAGCACTTAACATTCCCTTTATTCGACCCAGTCAACACTACGGAGGGTTTTCTTGTGTCATGCAAGTCAAATAAACCTAAGAAAGTAAAATTCGTTCTTAACTGAAAGAAGTTATGCCCCCAAGTAGAGTCCTTATTTATAGTATACCTGTGATGACTGCTCCCCTTGTTATTGTCACACCTAAATAGGAAAAGATGTTGCTCTAAACGATGTCATCATATGTGTTTGTTCTTTCCCCACAAAAATTTGCATGAGTTGCCCTTAGTCAGAAAAAATGTTATGAAATGATGAATTTATGCAAGCCGGTAAACAAATTATAATTGAGCTTAGGGGGTAGATCCAGTCACAAATGCCTAATTCCTTCCAGTTTTTCACATTCATACAAGGAACATTTGCAGTGATTTCTCCTATACTTATTTCACAGTATCTTTACAGTTGTTGATTTCATCTGTGTTATTTCCACAGACATTGAGTTTATAGTAAAAGTTATAACTATTACTATAAAAGCTATAACTATATTGGTGGTAACAAGATAGATGATGTCCATATATCTTATTTGGTTTTCCAGCTAATGAAACTTACAAACTTTAAACAGTATTATATAAAAATAAACTATATTCTGAAAAGTTGCAATGGGGGGAATCTAACTTAATCTTGGGGTCTGGGGTCTGAGAAACCTTCCCCAAGGATATGCCATTTAATCTGAAACATGAAGGATGAAAAGAGTCCCCCCCCCCCCAGGCAAAGTCTGTAGACTAGGAAGAAGATTTCATATATAAGAAGCTGATGTGCAAAGGCTTGGTGGTGGTAATTATGTGCCGTGAAGTCAGTTCCAACTCATAGTGACCCTGAATAGGGTTTCTGAGGCTGTAAATCTTTACAAGAGCAGAAAGCCTCATCTTTTGTCCTCCAAATGGTTGACAGTTTCAAACTGCTGACCATGAGGTTAGCAGCCAGACTCATAACAAAGGCAGTACAATGCATCCACATTTAGTGCTTCAAGTGTAAGTGAGAAGAGAACACTAAAGAGGTTAACTGGGGTCAAATAATGGGTATCTGGATTTTTTCTAAGGAAAAAAGAGAGTAACGACAAAATTTTAAACAGTAATGAACCAATGAAAATGCCTTGTATTCAATCTAGCTTTTAAAATATTTTCACACAATTATCAGAAATGTAACAAAGCTTCATATATTTACTTTACTTTTAATATCAGTGATACTAAAAGTAATAGCAATTATGGTTCCGTATCTTCATATATCTTATTTGATCACAATGGTAAACTATTAAAGAGCTGTTGTTATACTTTTGGGGTGACAGCAATCATATGACTTACATAAAATTCTACAGGTAATAATTGATATCATCATAGTGCTCTACATTTCTAATAATCTCAAAATGAAACCTTTAAAGTTCATATTGTACGGTTAATAGTATGTCTCATTCAAATATACATAAAATAAAATTTAAGGATAGGCTAAAAAATATTACCACCACTTGTCTGTCAGTTTGTCGTACTGTGGTGGCTTGTGAGTTGCTGTGATTCTGAAAGCTATGCCACCGGTATTTTAAATACCAGCAGGGTCACCCATGGTGGACAGGTTTCAGATGAGCTTCCAGATGAAGACAGATTAGGAAGAAGGAGTGATGAACTACTTCCAAATATTTAGTCACTGAAAAGCTTATGAATAGCAGAGAAATATTACCAGATATAGTGCCAGAAAATGAGCCCCTCGGGTTGGAAGGCACTCAAAATGAGACTGCCTTCTCAAAGTAGAGTTGACCGTGATGACGCGAATGGAGTAAATCCTGCGGGACCTTCATTTGCTGATTGGGCACAACTCAAAATGAAGAGAAAAAGCTGGAAACATCCATTGAAAATAGGAACATGGAATGTATGAAGTATGAAACTGGGAAAATTAGAAGTTGTCAAAAATGAAATGGAATGCATCAACATCAATATCTTAGGCATTAGTGAGCTGAAATGAACTGGTATTGGCCATTTTTAATCTGATGACCACATGGTTTACTATGCCAGAAATGACAAATTGAAGATGAATGGTGTTGCATTAATTGTCCAAAAAAACATATCCAGATCAGTCATGAGGTACAACGCTGTCTGTGATAGGATAATATCCATGTGCCTACAGGAAAGCCCAGTTAATACCACTATTATTCAAATTTACGCACCCACCACTAAAGCCAGTG